ATACAATAAAAGTAACTATTTACCAAAAATAGTAGCAAAAAAGTAGATTATAATTTAATGCAACCCATAAATAATAAATTTTATTTTTTTAAAAAAAAAATCATACAACATGATATACTACTTTAAATTTCGGGCTTTAGCTCATTTTTTTATTTAAAAAATCCGGCTAAGATATATTAAGTGGGCATGTTTTTAGTTTTACTTTTTGTCTTAGAAACAACGAACAACATTAAAATATTGGTCTCTATATTTATGAAATCTCAATTCAAAATATAATAAAAGTTTTAAAATCTCGGTCTTTATATTTGTGCCTTTAAAAAAAATGTTAAATTTTTTTAAATTGCATAATCAATCAATTGATCTTAATTTTTTGAAAATTACTATGTTATTTTTTTTATTAATATGCAAAAAGTAAAAATAATTAATCTTTGGGCCTTTCCTCTCCTTGAAGTCGAGCTCGACGCGAGAGGTTATAACATATGCTCGACTAAAAGGAGAGGCATTTTTTTATTAATATGCATAAAGTAAAATTATTAATTCATCTTTAGATATATAATTTGTAATATTAATATACTATCATTTGGTGTAGACATTTATTATATAAATTATAAAATATTTTTATTTCATAAATTTAAATATATTTAAAAAAAATAAGGAAATTTCTTTGGATCAATCGGGTAATTGAATTAGGGTACTACCCAAGTTGATTGAATTACTTTTAGGTGATATTTAAAAGGACAATGCTACATGTACAATTGTAATTTACAACATTGGTTGACAACTTAGTTAAAAGTATCATTAACTCAAATCTCAACCATACATCTATTTGCATCTCAACCACTCATATCATGACACATCATGTTGTCATTGAATGTTGTACAAAAAAGTGGTACACATAGCTTTTTCCTATTTAAAATGGACAAAAAACTTGGCACAACTTGGTTGGTCCCATGTGACTAAATTATGTATCAGTTTGACTAGACCAAATCGATTATTCAACCTAAAAATAAATTTTAATATCGAAAATATTTTATTACGTGAATGTGATGTAGTCCAACCTTCAAATAATCGTATTAACAATATTTTTATGACAACATATTTGATAATTTATGAATATTTATATATCATTTTAGTAATATTTTGTGAATAAAATAATATTTTATTATAATTTTTATTAATGTACAGTAAATATAAGGTTTTCAGAACCGGAACGTCATCGAAACGATCAAGTTATTTTATTAAATCATTTGTGGTTTGTTCAGATTTTAATTTATAAACATTTTAATATATATAATACGTTTTGTAATAAATTTAAATAAAAAGTGTTACTTAAAATCTAAACAAATTATAAATTCAAATGTTTAAAAATAATTGATAAACAATTTATAAATCTCCATTTTATTTAAATATGTAATTTATTTAAAATAATTTTAAATGTGGCAAAATTTATTTAGAAAATCGTATGGTGTTGGCGAATTCGATAGCAAATATTTTATTTAAGCATCTAGACTGGTTATAAACCGGTTCTCGGTGGGACTGTGTCCAACCCGGTTTAATTAAAAAACAATGGACAAAACATGATTAATATTATTTATACACTTAGTTTATAATACAATTGTAATATTGTTTCCCGTGCATCGCACGGGCACACACTAGTTTATATTTTGCACACTCAAACAATAAAAACAATCGAAACTGTATAATCCGCCGAATGGGGTTAAAGTTTGGTTGGAGCATGATTTACCGGGGATTGTTTATCCTCGTAGCGTAGTCTTGCAGTTTCGACCTTATTGGGCTTTACGTCCCTCTTNTAGTATAACTTAGCAGGTTAAGTATATTATGGATATAAGTTCCATAGATAAAGTGCACAAAAAAAATCATAATTTGGTAGGTTGATTGGAAAATATAAGATTGGATAGGTAAAGTGTACAGAATTGCAAAATTTGGTGGGTTAAGGGTGATTATTCATTTAGATAAAATCACATTGTCTTATAAATTAACAAAAATGTGATAATTTAAAATTGGTGAAATTTGAAAATAAAATTTTCTTATTCAATTTTTAGAAGATAGGTAAAGTTAATATACAAATAGTAAATCCACAGATTGTATTTCAATAAAAAATTAAGGAAAGTTTTTTAGTTTGCTCCATTTTACTTACTTTTATTTACCGAGAATTTTACTTAAATCATTCTTAGTATTGAATGTTACGTCGTTAATCAATTTCGCCTTCCCCTGCCATTGGGCCCCTCTCCCTGTTGCCCGGCCACCTACGATTTTATCGCACATTTGAACTTTGTTCAAATGCTATTCAAAATTTAACCGACGAATTTTTATGCAGAATATATGTTTAGAGTGTCATTTTTCAATGGATCTCTTGGTCACCAATCGCATATCCAATCGCCGGCAAATCACCGAGAAAGTTTCCAGAATTTTCTGGCGGCGACGAAAACGATTTAAAAATTTCCAACCGGTGATTCACAATGGCTTGGTTGTCCAAGTTTGATGGATGAGATCTTATTTTGTTCCTCTTTTCATACTCTATAGTAGACATTTATTAGTTTAAAGTTATGAGTTCGTTTGTGTGTTTAATTTGAGCTTCAACTGTGGCATTATTTTTTTATTTTTTTCCCAAATTTTCCAAATTTTTTTCGATGACTTTAACGACCTTTCTGTACGATTTGGACGAATACGTAAATGGATTGGACCAAAAATTGGTTAAAGGATGAAACATTGGGTATCAAAACCGATTAAATGAAAAACTTTGGATACTAAAATGGAAGGGCGAATGAAGTTGAAGTACTAATTAAGAAACATTGAGTTAGCAACTTTTAATATTAATCATATTTCTAACATATTCTCATGAAAGAATAGTAGAATACAGATAGTCCTTAGTAGTGTTATTTCCATTCGAGAATAACAGCATCAATAGTTGTGGATTTACGATTTCCACTCCATCACCCACAAAAGTAAATAGTTAGGTAATTGGATTCTATGATCCAAAGTGCCTCTCTTCTCCAGTTGACGAATTTCCCCCCACAAGTTTTTAAATGATTTTTGTTCAACTTCAATTCCATTCCCGGGTAACCCGAGTTAATTTTGCGCTTATACACTCAGTGAAGATATATTCTAGAATTACCCGACTCCATAATGGGTTTAGAAAGTAAAATATACATTCAAAAACCAAAAACATCTTCATGGGTGTACAAAATAAAATACACACATAGATTTCAAAAACAACAAAAAAAAAAAAAAAAAAACATCTTCGATGTATTCCTTAAGTTTCTTTGAGAAAAGATGATGCATTGTAAATGAGATCGCACGATACTTGAATGTATACGTACCAAAATCATCTTTAAATCTGAAGCTTCACACATTGGGCTGTCATTTTTTAGCAACTTCAGAATGTCTTACAACACTGCAAAAGAGATTGTAAAGGTAAAAGATATAACGAGGATGCAAGTCTAGGTTCATCAACCAATACCAAATGCTTGCTTTCAAGAAAGGAAAACATTCATGCATATATATCACAGAAATTCTATATCTTTCCATCTTACATTGTTTGGAAAGCACCTCTACATTTTCCTGTAGAGGTAGATTAATATTCGTCATATCTTCATAAGATTAACATTTTCCCAATAATTTTAATCCAGATTAGTAGACAAGACTGATTCTGCAAAATACTGAACCTTGAAGCATATATCACCAACCCCATGATCAAAACTTAACACCATACAAATAAACTGATCCTCACAACTCGAGTGTTCATCAGCATATCAAATTTTTGCAGACAAAACCTTTCTGTCTGCCCTTCTCAGTCATCATCAGAATCAGAAATGTATCTGCTGATATCAAAGGGCTCGTTCTTCGGAATTGGGCGAGTCGTCTCAAAATCATTCGTTCCATTCATTGGTGCAAAAGCTGCACATTTCGGATGAAAAGGCAATTAAAAGATAAAATATAACATGAATATCGGAAGGACTTAACATCATTTACACAAATTTCCTGCTTCTTCAATAACCCTATGTCGTCGTAAATTTATTTAAACTGAAGTTCTTCAAAATCTACCGATAATATCTCCATAACAGGTCAAATTTGGCTTAGACTTGGATATCAAGCAACAAGGATAACCGCTATATTAGACATAGTGATCAAAACCTCTAGTAAGTATTACATACAACCAATCAAGCAGAGCCAAGTAAACTGACCTCTCTCTCTCATTCTTCTCTCTCTGTCAAATTCAAACTTGTCACGTATTTGGTTACCTCTGTCCCATGTATTATTTCCCCTGTTACTCCCCATAATTTGATCCTGCAGTCAAATATTTGTTCGGTCATCATATGTTGTAGAAGTTAAAAAATACCATCAAGTCCTTCCCAGTGCAGTATTATTACGCTCATCAGATGCACTCAGCACAAAGACCAATATAAGAATTATAAAGTAGGCAACAACTTACCGAACATCTCATCGAAAACAATATCCAGATTCCTCAACCCACACGATAAGAGAGGAGGATACAAAAACAAGATATTCGAACACTAAAAACAAAAATGGGGATATATATTTGCAAATAAGAAGGATTCGAAGGGTTATAGTGACAATCCAACCCTGGGGCAAGATAGGTTTCATAACCAAATGATAAAGTGAGTTTATTGAAAAATAAAGCTGAAAGCGATTAACACAAGTAGCCTGTATATGATTACCTTAATCTGATCGGGTCTCTGTTGTCTAGCCCTGCAACGAAATAGATCACTGTCATATGCATTACTAGTCTTGACACAATATTACAGAATGACAACGATGAAAATGATAAGAGAAATCTGCTGAGAACATATGAAGCAAATTCTACCGATTGAAGTAAGTTCTCCTTTGTGAGGATTGGTATAGCATTACCATAAGAAATGGAATTCCAAATTACAAAGAAAGAAAACGAAAATCTAACCTGTAGGGATTGAAATCTTTATCATCATCTTCAGCAGATTCATAATTTGCATGATCTTGAGCAAGTTTCTTGGAATACCCCTCATCCCAATACAACCTCTCCCAGTTTTCCCTAAGCTCATTATATAGCTCCATATATCTCTTACACCAAGGTTCATGCTCCTTCCATTAGGAAAAAAAGAAACGATTTTGCAGAGTCAAACAAATGAAATAACTGCTATTAAACCTCATCATCAATCTCCAACTCCAACCAATTATTATAAAAACAAAGTAACAGAAAAAAGAAATGGATAAAATGGACACATATGAAAACTCAAATATAAGATGCAGGGTTGTTCAGAAATAGATAAAATTAAGATGCCCCACACTATCATTAGCACAAATTGGGGGAGCTTATTAAGCGGGGTGCTCGATTAGATAATGATAAAGAGAACTAACAGATTCCTTGATGACGAGACGAGTACGGCGCATGAACTGCTCCCTGAGCTGCTTGCGGCGCTTGTTGGGAAGATTCTCTCTGGGGATCACAAATCGTTCACGCGGCGGCACGTTATCCCCTATCTCGTGCATTTCGCCGTCCACCACCCACCACTCGGACTTGTCCTCGGTCTTTCTCAGCATCGCAGACGGTGAGAACTTGGACCGCCGCCGGGCCCGTGGTGGTATCGAGCCGGAACCGGAGTCGGTTCGCGCATACCGCAGCTGAGTCGCGATAAACTGGAGACATTTTGGGGGTCTTTGAATCACTTTAGTTAGAGGGTGCATCGAAAAACGGCGGGATGGTGGCGGAAAGTAGTGGAACCACGGCGGATTGGGGCTGAAGATCGACAGCGAAAGGGTTTGAAGGGGGTTTATGTTGTTTCATGGGTCAGTTATACCCGATGAGAGTATTTCTGTTTTTGGGCGAGTTCTATTATTTATTTATTTTTATTTTTTTGAAAAAGTTTGATCTTGAAATCTATATCTATATATCTATATTTATATCTATATCTATATATATATAAAAAGGTTTGATTATTTTTTAAATAGTAACTATTTTCCTTAAAAAAATATATTTATTATTTTGAAAAATTAATTTAACAGTTTATGGTATATTTTAAATAATCAGTTATGGAAATTGCGGCTCATTATTTAAGGAAATAATTAAGCCATATAAAAATACATTTTTAAGATACCTTATACTCAAATTAATTTAACAATTTATGGTATATTTCACATAATCACTTATGGTAAATTCAATTTTAAGGTACTTTAATTACTCAAATTATGTGAATTGGTTGATTTACCCAAATTTGGGAATTTCGGCTGCAATATCAATTATGTAATTTGGTAAAAAAATTCCAACTAAATTGTATAATTTATTATTTAATAAGTGTTTTATATTTTTAGTGTAATTTTTTTGTGAAGTAAATTTTTAATATACCTTAATTACGTAAATCCGAATGATGTATTCAATTTATAAATAATTACTACAATTATAGAAATATCGACAACAATAATTAATTATGCAGTTTGCAAAAAAATATTCTAAAAAAATTGTGTTAATGACAATTTTTATTTAAATATTATTTAATAAATATTATTCATTTTTTGTTTATTTAATTGCTCGAATCGTGAATAGCTAAGGAAAGAAGTAGACCATAAAGATTTACATTTTTAAGATACTCTAATTACGCAGATCGTAAATTCGGTTGATTTATTTAATTATAATTTCTTCTAAAATAATTGTGTTATTGGTAGTTTTTATTTAATTATTTTTTAATAACTATTTTTTGGGTCTTTTTTATTTCTATCTATAATAAATGTGTTGTACGTTGTACAATTAATTTTGTGATTAAACTGAATATCATTTTTTTTTTGTATTTTATTGATAAAGTATGAAATCGAATTATTTGGTATATTATATATTGATCCAATATACCCGCTTATGGTAATAAATGGTATCTTATTTTTTTATTTTTTTTTCATATTGCTAAGCATTTTACTCGATATTAATGAAAGAAAAATCTGGATAATACTATGCCGATTCTTCTTTGTAAATGTGGGTGGAACATATCAAATTATTTGGTGTGTGTGTATGTGTGTGTGTATATATATATATAAAGATTTGTTTTTACTTAAGTCACATTGTAGTCAAATTGAATTTCTGAATTAAAATTTTAAAATGACACCTATTTTGAAATTAATATAATGTAACTTATTATAAGTTATTTGCACAATACGGGTCGTGTACTAATTTTAAATAGACATGTTTTATATAATTTTGCACAATTTAAATTTCATATAACATTTTCAACAAATTAATATAGGTAAATTGTATTATATATTGATTCCATATTTCTAATTTATAAATATTATTTAATGAGCATTTGTAATTTATAAATATTAATGAATATTTCTTACGCGTGCATCGCACGGGATTCGTACTAGTCTATATATAAAAAAGTTTGATTATTTTTTATATAGTAACTATTTCACGCACCCGTGTAATACACGAAGTATTGTATTAGTTATCAATATAATTAAATAATATCAATCAATCATCATCATAAATTACATCAACTTTAATTCGGTATTCATCCACTCACATAATTTTAATTAATCATCACTTCCATTCACATCTCTCTTACTTTTACGTCAAATCAACTTTAGTCATTATGTTTTAAATATTATTTTAATACAAACTCAAAATCTCACTCAAACTTAACTCAATCAACCTATTCAAAATTAACTTCGTTTATCCAACAAACCCAATCAAATCTAAAATAACTTATATCTAATTACACCACTAAGATTTTGGAACTAGTGATTACTTAACTTATGGAGTGTATTCTTTTGGATTTTTTTAATTTTTTTTATGATTTTAGAAATTCTGTTGTATTTCACCTAGAGTTTTTAAGACTTTTAAAAGTCTCGGCAACATAAACAATTACTGGTTGGTGATTTCCATATTTATATTTGTATAACCACATCCAAATCACTACAATGATTAAATACCTTTTAATGTATTCTTGCATAATATTGAGATATGGATGACGCAAGCTTGCATTATTAGTATTGTGGATTACTTTTTCGGTTTACTGAGAATAAAAAAACTCAGAAAAAAATAGGTACCAGATTACAATGGTTATTGCCAAAATAGCATTGTTCAACTCCCGACGCTAAAAAATTTGTCCACTCTTGCACTTTCAAGATAATATCAGATCTTACAATAACATGTTTGGCTTTACATCATTTGGAGATGGAGATATTTACAGAGGGACTGTGTAGCGCCCAATTACTAATATATGGAAAATGCTAATATTTTCTAAGTTATTTTAATCTGTCAAAAACTTGATTTTTGGCAGCTACTAAAAAAATTATCTCTTTCTGAAAAATTCAAACTCTTTACTTACTATCTGCTGCTACTATCTCTTTTTCTTTTCTCTTTATCTCGACCCAAAACTAGCTAAGGGTCCACAGGGAACTAACTCCCATAAATAATTCAAGATAATGTAGAGTACTCTAAATCATGAATGCATAAATCTCAAATTATAAGTCTCATAATACTCAATTCAAAACAATGCAAACCAAACTCAATATCCAAGATCTCAAAACATGAAAAAATACTAAGTCTGCAAGAGTTATGAAAAAAATTGAAATAACTCAAATAATGATAAAGTAACCACCACACGCCACCCTCCAGTGCCGCTGTCCAGCTGCTCAACCAGAAAATGATAGTTGTGGGGATGAGCAAAAAGAACCACGTGCTCATCTTTAGCCTATAAAATACGGACATTCAAAATAAGCAACGGATACCTTGTAAGCAGATATGATACACAAATATTGGTCCTGCACCCTACTATGGTGCGTCTAGAGTTATTGCAGCCATCTAATAGGCGCAACTCTTCTCATTTTATGTCACGCAACCCTCTCTCAGGCGCTAGCTAGCTTACGACATATCTCATATAAAAGAACAACCATCTAATAGGCGCTCATAGCACAAGAACAACCATCTATTAGACGCTCATAACTAAAGAAGGGAAACACAATATTCATGCACATAAATACAAACAAAAATACCACAGTAATTATAGACAATGATGTATTAGATAGATCCCCACCTGGATACTCTGAACTAGAAATGAGAGTCGTCGTTTATGTAGAAACTCGAGGGCTCGACTTCTCAGAATCTACATAAAAATAAGCGATACTTGGATCAATCTCTAACTCTTATATCGGTAAGCTAATTTACCAATTTGAAGGATTTTCTAGCTTAAGGTCCACGACTTAAAAATTCTTTCTCTTTCTTAGATGTTGGAACTCTAGACTCGGACTTCTCAAAAACTCGGAAATTACTTTCCAAAACTTAACTTTGCGACTCGGCTCATAATTCTGATCAAGGCTCCAAATATTTTCTAAAACTTTCTAAAAATAGCTCGGGACTTTTAAGAATGGTTTTGGAGCATTTTAAAATGATTCGCTTCTTTTAAGATAGGCTCGGCACGGTCCGGGTGCGGCTGGGCGCTCGGCGGCTAGGCCGCGGCTGGCACCGATGTCGCGAATGCTCATTCGCTGCGAGTGCCGCGACTTTCTCTCTCGCGCGCCGTCTCTCGGGTCGCGAATGCTCTTTCGCTGCGAGTGCCCGGGTGGGACGGCCAACTCGCGGCTTGCGACACCGCGTTCGCAGCGAGTGTAGGCGATGGGCTGCGGCTCTTTTGGCGCATCTCGCGGCTCGTGAATTGGATTTCGCGGCGAATATGGCACTAAAATCTTCCTCACGGTAGCTCAGATGGCCCGAATGATGGCTCGGGTGGCTCGTCTCGGAATGACTCGGCATCGGAAACATGGACTATGGCTCGAATTCCCAAACGTGCATATAGGACCTAAACACACCAAAAGAGACAACAAAATACTGACAGGTCGGCGAAAGGACTTCTCTCCACGGGCGCCCCCTTCCTGGGATGTATGCTCCAGAAGCAAGATCAGCGTCCCCGATACTCGTCAGTATTAACTCAAAAGGAAGTCTGTTATTGTGGAAGAAAGGGAGAAGTCGCATTCCCCAAAGAAGGTGGAATGCTTTTCTTCTTTTCGAAAGCTCATCCATTCCTTTTTGCATTGATAGAGGAAATGTTGTCACCGTCTTTCATTGTTGCGGACGGTTGTTCCTTGCAGCCTAACTATAGCAGGAACGCTTGCTCTTGCGCGGTAGAATACTGTTTGCATTCGTAGAATACCTCTGTGTGTCGTTGGACTTGACTCCCTTGCTTGGTCCTCTGAACTCTCTTTTCAACTGAGCCCTTCCCGGACTTGAAGTCCTTTCTGTACTTGCTGCTGCCTAGCCTTAGGGAATGAAAGTAACCTGGTTTGGTTATTTAGTTGGAGCTGCTTCCTAACCGTTTTCCAAAGCAAAGGTAAACGACTAACTAAGAAAAACACTAGCTATAGAAAAGTGAATAAAGCCAGGTGTGAATGATTGGCTTGTCTAAGGGCTCAAAAGTCGGTGTTTAGCGAACACTCCAACAACCATATGAAAAAAAAGGGAGGGGTAGGGTCGCTTACAACTGGTCCGAAATACAAAAACACATAACTAAAACGAAAACACATAAAACATGACAAAATGGACCGGTTGACACAAAAACGAACCTAAAAACGACTCGACTTAGGCACATAAAACACAAGAAAACACCACAAAAACATAACAAACACAGGTTCGGGCTGGCTCACGGGTTCGGGCGGTTGGAGAGCAACGCACGCAAATAAGTCTCAACCGAGTCTAGACCGCAGAGCTCCTTAACGACGGGCATAGTAGCTGGCACGTCGAGCTGGAATGTCGACTCAGCGCCTTCCAATCCTCCCCACGACTTGAGTTGTTTTCTTGCATCCTTAATCGCTGCCCGCGTGGCACAGTGCACTGATGCTGCCAGAAACAGCGGCGGCTCGCCACAAGCTGCACCAAAAAAACTTGATCAAATTACAAACAAAGTGTAGTGTTTCTCTTTTTCCTTTTAAGCCCATGCATTTCTTGAATGTTTTGCTCTCAATACTAATCAACCAATCATTTCATCATTTAATGCTATAGCTTCGGCCAAACGATGAGTACCTTTAGACGAGAGGACCCGTTTCTGGTGATGTCCGCTGTTTAATATTTCGACGTTGAATTCTCTAGGGATAGTATCAATGGTCGGGATCTTGTACGTCCATGTCCCGTCAGCAACCATCAAACCGTCTGAATTGAATGAGTATTCTTCTAGCATGAAAAATCCGAGCCCTTGTACAAACGCCCCCTCAATCTGCGTAATCGATATTGAATTTTTAGTTGTTTTTTTTTTATTTTTATTTATTTTAAAAAATTCAAAACTACGAAAAGCGATACAAGCGAAAACTAGAGATGGAATTTCGGAAGTATAAATGTATGATGATTGACCTGTCCCAAATCCACAGCTGGGTTCATGCTCTGGCCGCAATCATACACGATGTCTGCTCTTAATATTATTGTCTCACCAGTTAAGACATTTACCTCCACCTGCAATATAAATGATAAATACCCCACTCGTTAGTGTGGTCTGCTCAACGTGGTTGAAACCTGAGAGACTAATCTAATCCGATTGCTGCTAAATTGAGAAACATGCGAATTTGGATAAACCTGCATATTTACGTCAAAGCATTACATCATAAATAGGAAACTCAGACGAGAATAATTCTTACCTCACTTACTGCAGCACCATAGTTCAAGTATCTAGTAGAATTTGATTCGGGCACAAAGTAAGAATTTGCTGCCAAATTCACATTTCGATAATGTGCCTGCATTCAAAAGTAAATTGCTCGATCAGAAAAAGGGAAAAAAAAAAATCGAAAATGCAGCATATGTAGGATGAACATAAACCTCCTATCCACACCCCCAGTAATTAATGTTTCCACATATATCGAGACAATGTATAAATATGCACAACTTTGCAAACTT